CCCAGACAAAGGATGATGCTCTGTGGTTTTCCTCACCTGTTTCATGATCCTTCATTGAGTCATGGCAAATGTCCTGCTGGTTTTTGGCAGCTGTTCTGTTCAAAGGATATCCAGCTTTGCTTTCCCTTCTTTCCTCATAGGAGTTCAGAGAAGGGTTGCAGAGAAAAATGGAAGGCTGACACTCAAAGCTGATTGCTAGCTAGAGTAGCCAAGGGTATTTATTAGCTCTATTTTGATCAAGCCTCGTGTGACCTTTTTTTTTTCTTTTTTCTTTTTCTTTTTTTTTTTTTTTTGAGGTAATGGTTTGTTCCTACTTGTTATTTTTTGTTTTGATTTCATTAGAGGAGTTCATCCCTGGCTTTCTGTTGATGCTAGATGGCTTTCCAGTTGTATGAAATCTGCTGAGAACCCTCCATTGTGTATTTCTTCCTTCACCACTTGCAGGAGAAGGGGAAAAGTACTACTGGGAGCCTAAATAAAAAAGTTTTGTGAGATCCTTGTGAGTATAATCCCATTTTGAAAGCAAAGATTCTCTAAAATTTAAGAAAGCTGGAGAAAGATCTCAAACTGACATACAGATGGGTGTCAATCATCAGGGACACATTTGTCATACTATTTAATTTTGAGATTTTTTCACAGATTTTTTCAAGTTAATGTTTTATCCACAACAAGTCCTCACCGTCTTTTGTTGTGATTTTGGTAAGAACAAGCATTTTTTTCTGACTTTCTAGAAAACTAAAATGTTTTTTTCTTTACCAGAAAGTAAATGTGAGTCAGTAAATTTAAGGTTCTGAAAAGCATTTATGTGTATATACATAACAACAGTCTTTTTTTTTTTTTTTTTTTTTTTTTTGAAGGACCACATATAGAGCTGTGATGTTGGTCCAGTTTCCATGTTCTTTTGGTCTTTGGCCTGTCCGAGGCTGCCAACAAATGTGTTAATTGCCATGGTTTTGGTTGTGGGGACACTTGTCCAGGACAAAATGAACTGAGATCAGTAATTAATTTTAAATTTATTGAAAATGGAGGTTCTTCCTTCTTCTTCCTTCCTGTCAACAATTTATTTTTCTTTTCTATAGACTGTGCAGCCTTATTGACTTCAGCGGGGTTTACCGGATGCAACCAAGATGGTTTCTTCTGGTAGCTGAAATAATCATAGATTCTGGAATTTGCCTTGAGAATAAAATACCCTGAGGCCAGATATAGTTTTAATTTCAGCTTTTAAATGTACCCTCAGCAGATCACCAAGCAATAACCTAAGTCTAGAGAAGTTTTTGCTTCCTCAGCACTTATCTGCTTGTCTCCTTTCTGCACAATTTTTTACCTAACTTACCCAGTGATCCTAATATGCAGTTTCTGTAGAAATGATTCTTCAACTGCCATCAGTGTTGTCTGGTAGGACTGACATTGAATAAACTGCCACTGAGTGGCAGAAGCATGCTCTTGATATGGTTGAATGGCATGTTTGTTTTCATTTGAATTCCTATGGATTTCTTCCCTTTTCAAGGGTTAAGTTGCCAACATTGTCAACAAAATCACAAAAGCTAGCCTTTCTAATTGTGTTTCTTCCTCCAAGACTGTGGACACATGTATTTCTGAGGTGAAGGTCAGTGGAGCTCAGCCATTTTAATCTGCACATAAGGACATGGAACTGTTTGCTTTAGAAATGCTCTTTCAGTTCAAGCTTTGGAGCTAGCTTTCTGCCCAATTACAGAAAGAAGTGCTCGTGACTTCACAGTCTACTGCAAAGCTGAGTGCTATTCCTCCAGCAGGTCTATTACATTCAAGAGACTTGAAAACAAGTGCTGCTGAGTGATGATACCAGAAACCTGCTAAAAATGTCGACAATTGATAGAGTGAGAGAGCATTTTGCAAGATTCTTGAAAAGCAAGAATTGTTTTCCTTTGAAGATTGTTCTTGAATTGTTCTTTGAGTATTATGCTTGAATAAATATTTGCATTTAGATTTCACACAGCACAAACTTAGAAGTATTTCTTGTAGAAGCTCTAGATAATAAATTAATTAAAAAAAAATTGTGGAGCTAATTTGCTGTGTATTTTCTTGTGCTTTTGCCTTGAAACTGGGCTGTAAACTTTTTCTTAGCTTTCTACTAATCCTTGGTCTTAGTCAGGCTGGAAGTGCCATGAAAACAGAGGAAGACTGTGCATATTTTCTTGGTTCTCATTCCAGGCAAAACAAGGAAGTAAAAGTGATCACAGAAATGGTAACCTAACTTTGTTAAAAATCAAATTTGATGTGAAGTTTTGCATATTAGTGTAGAGTTTTTCTTATCTGTTTTTCAGTTTTGAAATATTTTGGTCCCTTTTCAACCATTCAGAATGCCAGTTTTAAGGACATGTTGGTATTGTGATTCAGTACAAATTGTGATTTAAGTGTGCTCACTCTTTGGGTGCTTTAGAATTCCCCAGGTGCAGATTGCAAGCATGTTTAAGTTAAAATACAAATATTTTCCAGAGCTGTAATTTATATAGTAGGTGTTTGGTGACTCTGAGTTACTGGATAAGGTTTGAGTTGGAACAAAGCCTAGAAGCTGTATTTTGGTTGTGCTAAGCATATTGAGATGGTAGAGGAAAACAAGGAATGAAGGGACAAAGATCTCAACAAATCTATGCATGTTGTCATCCTTTCTTTAGAAGTATCTGAATCAGTATACTGATCCTAGATTATGCATGAATGCTTTACCATATAGTGTTGTGGAGAGAAGCAATATTAAAATATAGATCATTTATCCAGCGTGATGTACATGGTGTCCTGAACCAGGGGAACCTCCGGGGAGCAGAAAGGCCTCCCAGGTGCCCACAGCCTGCCTGGCAGCGGCTGACGAGACCTAGGCAGGGCCAGGAGCAATGGAGGCCAAGCCCACCTCTCTGAAAAGAAGCAGGAAAACAGGGCGCAGAGTGGCATGGCAGGACAGTTTGTGTGCAGGAAGGGTGCTGTACCTCTGCCAGCTTGACTGGGGAGCACTGATCTTTACCCAGCAGAAGACCACGTCCTCTCCAAGCTCTGTACCCATCATGTCTGACGCAGCTTCCCAGACAGAGCTCCAGTGGGAACATGCTGCCACCCAAGGCTGCAGCATGTGCCCTGCTCTTATGCCAGTACTGGATGGACGACAGCAGTGAGCACACCTGTGGGAGGTGTGTCCCAGTAAAGCAACTCCTGTGTTTAGTGGCAGAGCTCTGGGAGGAGGTGAGTAGGTTAAGAACTTGTTCAAGACTTGTAGCTCTAGCTGGATGCACGTAAATCTATGGGGCCTGATGGGATTCATCTCAGGGTACTGAAAGAGCTGGCTGATGTGACTGCAGGACCTTTCTCCATTATTTTTCAATGGTCTTGGGAGTCTGGAGAGGTCTCAGTTGACTGGATGCTGGCATATGTTGTCCCAGTTTTCAAGAAGTGTAAGAAGGAAGACGCTGGTAATTGCAGCTCTGTCAGTCTCACTTCAGTGCCTGGTAAAATTGTGGAGAAGGTTGTTCTGGGAGTTGTTGAAAAACACTTGAGAGACAATGCAGTCATTGGTCATAGCCAGCACAGATACCTGAGGGGAAAGTCCTGCTTAACCAACTTAATTTCCTTTTATGACAAGGTCACTCATCTAGTTGACCAAAGGAAGCCAGTAGATATGGTGGTTTTGGATTTTAGAAAAGCTTTTGATACTGTCTTTCATGGTATACTTCTGAATAAACTGTCCAGCACACAGCTAGACAAGTCCATAATAAGTTGGATGAGGAATTGGCTGATGGATCTGGCTCAAAGGTTCATAGTAAATGGGATTACATCAGGCTGGTGGCCAGTCACCAGTGGGGTTCCCCAGGGCTCACTTTTAGGGCCAGTGCTCTTTAATGTTTTTTATAAATGATCTGGATACAGGAATGAAATGTACATTAAGTAAGTCTGCCAATGATGTTAAACTAGGAGGAGCTGTGGACTCCCTTGAGGGTAGAGAGGCCTTACAGAGAGATCTGGATAGACTAGAGAACTGGACAATCACCAACCATATGAAATTTTACAAGAGCAAATTCTGGATTCTCTACCTGGGATGGGGTAATCTTGGTTGTACATACAAACTGGGGGATGAGAGGCTGGAGAGCAGCCCTGAGGAAAGAGATCTGGGGGTTTGGGTTGATGACAAGTTGAGTATGAGTCAACAATGCACTCTGGCAGCCTAAAAGGGCCAACCATGTCCTGGGGTGCATCAAGCACAGCATAGCTAGCTGGTCAAGTGAGGTGATTGTCCCACTCTACACTGCACTGGTGAAACCCCACCTCGAGAAGTTTAGGCACCTCAGTATAAGAGGCAGATCATGCTATTAGGGTGTGTCCAGAGGAGGGCGACCAAGATGATAAAGGGCCTTGAGGGCAAGACTTATGAGGAGTGGCTGAGGTCATTTGGTTTGTTCAGCTTGGAAAAGAGAAGGCTAAAGGGTGACCGCAGTTTAGAACTTCCTCAAGAGGGGCAGCTGATGGGGAAGTGTAGATCTCCTCTCCCTGGTGAGCAGTGATAGGACACAAGGAAATAGAATGAAGCTGCATCAGGGGAAGTTTAGATTGGACATTGAGAAAAGGTTCTTCAATGAGGGGGTAGTTGGTCACTGGAACAGGGTACCCATGTTTCATGTACCTGTTAGTTTTAGGAATCATATGCTTGTATTGTCCCTCCATTCCTTATTTTTAAAAGTTTTAAGTTTTGGTAAAAACCAAAGAAGAATAATATTATTTTCCCTATGACATACTGATGGAATGGAGCTTAAACCATCATTTTATTCATGCAAATCACAATGAGGAATGGATTATATCTCCCTTTTACGTACTGGCTGGTATATGCATATAAAAAGTGAATAGATGAGGCACAATTCTTTTTATTGCATCTTTCACCTCAACAGGCTTATTTGTATTAGTTATAGGAATAAATTAGATGTGCAAACTGTAGTCTGTCTTTTAATAGAAAACCTGATATTTTGTCCTTTTAATCCTGATAGGAAATAGTGCTGGTTGTGTTTTTTGGTGCTGAATATGTGGTCCGATTGTGGTCTGCAGGCTGCAGGAGTAAGTATGTTGGCTTCCAGGGAAGAATACGGTTTGCCAGAAAGCCAATATCAATAATCGGTAAGATTTAAACATTTTTTTTTTCTTAACTTTGCTATTATTATTCATTTTAAAGTAAAGATGTCAGCTAGTGCAGAGACCATATTGCAGTTCTGAGCTGTGTCTATCTCTCAAGCATTTATCTGCTTTATGAACCTATGCAATTATTTCTTCTTTTGGATTGCTAGAACTGGACATTTAAAATATGACTGTCAGACACAGGCAGATACCAGCTCGAGAAAGGCAAAATTGTAAAGTGAAGAAATCTTTAATAAATCTACATGTGTAAATGGAGAAAATTGACAAGATTTTGAACACAATAATTCTTCCTCAGGTCTGCTGTAGAAAGTAAACGCAAAGCTGAGTATAAATTGGGAAAAACATGGAAATGTGCAGAGTGTAACTCAGGAAAAATTCCCCTGGGTAGTACTAAAGTTAAACAAATTTTGATGGTTTGAGGGACTATTGTGGGTAGCATCTTGAGTAGGAGAGACTTTAGAGGGAGAAGTGACTAATAGAACCTATGGAATAATGAGGGATTAATAAAAGGTAAAGCTTGGACAAAATTGTGGTAGACCATAAAATCAGCATTTCTATTTTAAGTCCATGAGTTTATATAGACTTCAGTATAACTGTGAATTTTTTGTTAGTCAAACATCAACTCAGTGAGTTTTAAATAGAGCAAAGTAGGAGAGGTGAAAAGGGGAGAGAATGAGCTGATGTTTCCTTAACCATCTGCTACTTTATGAAACTTGGTGCAAAAACTTGGGAAACATCGTGTTCTATTATACATCTGGATGTAGGTAATGAATAATGTGATGAGACACTGTACTCCATTTTGGGTTATTGAGAAAGAAGTGTTTCATTACATACAAATTCTTCAGCTGCTTCTAGAGCTGATCTAGTTTCATGATCTAACCATGAAGCCTATAGGTAAGTTTCTTCTCCCATCACATTCTTGACTTCTCTTTCAATTAAGGAATGCTTCTTAGGTAAGTTTGTTAGAGTACAAAGGCGCAGGAGAAAGCAAAGGCAAAATCAAGAGAATGTCCTTTCACAACCTCTTTTATCCTTTTGTTTTTGTTGTAGAAAATGTCACAAAGAACTGATTTATTAATTAACTTTTGTTTCTCCTGGTTTTTGACAGCATGCAGTTTGAAAGACAGAAGGGGGACATAAGTCACTGGTGTAAAGACCTGAGTACACATATGTGTGTCCATCTCATATTATCCTTAAGCAAAGGACAATAGAACTTTGGTTATGAGCACTTTTAATTGGTTATGTATACAGCTCTGAAAAAGCATCAGCACCTCGTATATAAAGCTCCAGTTACTTTGTATAAACCTAACTTATGAAGTGCCGATAGAACACAAAAGTTGAGCAAAAAAGTATATGATGTAAATCAAATTCAAATATGTGCATATAATCTGTTTAATTTAAGTCCTTATGGACATTATATTATCTTCAGACTACTAAGAATACATCTGGAAACTGAGGGCTATTTCCATTCTGTAAAATGCTATGGCAACTAAAAATTAAAATACAAATGTTAAATTGTATTTTTAAAAAAAAAAAATTTAAACCTGTTTTAAATTTTAAAGGATTAATTGCTTTTAATCAAAAAGCTGAGAATTGCTAGAAAGTAAACTTGTAGGAACATTAGAAACAAGTCTGCAATTTGCTCAAAAAAAGCAGTACTCGGGTAAGCTGAGTTACAGGTGTTGCTATGTGCTGTGCTGAAGTTTATGCGTAACTAATACTTCACTGGCAAGCTGATTTTTAGATTAAAAATGGCAGCTGATTTTAATTCTTCAATGATTGAGGACATAAGAATAATCCACGGGGACAGCGGACCAGCAGTGGACTAGGTTTTCAAATCTGTGTACTACACATACTAAATTGCAGGGAATGTGATTTATGTAGGTCTATCATCTCCATATGTAGTGCACGCATTGTATAGAAGATGCTATGTCATTTTTGTCTCTCCACACCTCATGTGTATGTACAGACATGTTTACAAATATGTAAGTAGGTAGAATATTTGAGGAGGACATACACATATCACTGTTTATAAATTACTGGAATTCGGTTTTTTAAAATTACCAAGGCTTCCTGACAGTTTCTTTTTTAAAAAGTAACATAAATACTAATGTAATGCTAATCTAAATACTAATGCTTACTAAAGTTGAAAAAGTTATTTAAAAAGAGATGTTGACTCTTTATCCTCATATTTTCCATACCAAGTGTCTTCTTCAGTTTGAGTCTTGTGGAGACATTTCACACAAAATGTTTAAGCTGTCATGGAAAAGGCAATTCTGAAGATTTCTTATGGAGAAACACTAGTGCTTCCACACTTTGAAGCAGATACTTGAAACTTAACGAGAAAATACCTTTTTGATTGTCACAGAAAATCAACTCCAAGCTGACTAACAAGCATCTGAAGAATGGGTAGCTTGTTTATGTTTAAACCACCCTGCTAGTTGTGCTTAAAACACCCTGCTAGAGAATGCTCTTATGTTCTGCAAAGACTCAATCTGCAGTGAGCCTGCACAATTCAAATTTCAAGTCTCTCTGAGCAGCAGTGCTGGGACTGGAAGTAGAAAATATGTTGATTTTGTTTGTATAATGCTCTTCCCGAAATTGCCCAGAGCACATGGAAGGGGAAAATACTAGGCTTGAATGCCAAGGTGGAGTTGTAGGGTTGGTGGAATCACAGAATCACAGAATATTAGGGATTGGAAGGGACCTCAAAAGATCATCTAGTCCAATCTCCCTGCCAGAGCAGGAACCTAAATGAGATTACACAGGAAGGCGTCCAGGCGGGTCTTGAATATCTCCAGAGAAGGAGACTCCACAACCTCCCTGGGCAGCCTGTTCCAGTGCTCTGTTACCCTCACCGTAAAGAAGTTTCTTCTGGGACATATGGACAATGGACTGGGACATACAGGGTTGATGAAATGTCAGGAGGATGGATGATGATGTGAGGGTCTGGTAGAAGGACATATAAAGAGACCAACAAGCAAGCAGGAGGTTAAAGGAAAAAAAGTAGGGGCTGAAAATAGGTGGGATTAAAAGGTGGCAATGTAAAGGCAGAAGGATATGCTGAATACCTCAAGTGTAAAATAGGACTGTTTGAACCAGGGATTAGTATGAGAAACCTAAAGATTGGAAACTGGCATGAAAAGCAGGAATAGAGAAGTAGCAGAGATAAAGAACAGGTTTGGGTGAAAAAAATGAAGTATCTCTACCATGCATAGAAAATGCTTTCATAAAGGTGGAAAGTACAAATGAAAAATCTCTGTTACTGTCACTACCTGATTGAAACTCATTTCCTAAGTGTCAGTCTTTTCCTCCTTCAGTGTGGGTTGTTGGATGGATATGTGTATCTCTGATAATTTAGTAAGGACATTCGGTGCATTATTTGCTTAAGGGAAAAGATCTATATTATGATGCAATGGGAAGAAAACCCTCCCTAAATTTTAAGTGTTTACGATAATGTATGTTCACACATGTACATGATAAAGAACAGCATAAAAAATTTGGAAGGTCAGGTGCTCAGAAGCTAGATTATCACCAATTGGAAACTCTTTCTGTAGCCTTTACTTATCCCTCCCTATATTTATTTTCATTTTTATAAATGTACAATTATTGTAGTACAATCTTTAAACTAATTGAGTGCTATCCCTTGAGGAAGAATCCTGCTTTTACAGTAAAAATCAGGCTGATGCTGGAAATCAAGTCAGAGAGTGAAGGATAGTGTTGGTTGTAGAAATGCTGCAATATTTGTTGCAGCAGCTACATGGTTGTGAATGAGGCAAGAAAATGTTAAAAGAGAGGAAAAAAAAAGTTACCCTTGTTGAAGGCAACTGTTGTTGCCTCTGAAGTTGGATTCTATCCTGCATCTTGCCTAGGCATCACACGGAAACTCTGTGGCAGTCATTTAAATCAGTTTTCACAAGTGTGCCTCATTTTCTGGATGTCCAGATGAAGCCTTTGAAGTCAGGTTATAGAGGTTCTGAGCTCTCACAGCTGCAAGTGAAGTCAGCAGGCACTGTTTTTTTTGAAGTGCTATATAATGTTAAGTGCTCTGAAGAATAAAGTACTGCCTGTTTAAAACTGGCAAGGAAAATTTACCAAATTTTTTCCTCATTCTGTCTACATTTGCTACCCATTTATAATACTATCCTTTATTTTCTGGTTAGAATTTGAAAGTGAAGCATTCAGATGCTCTGAAGATTACCACAGAAATGCCCATGAGGAAATGGGAAACATTTCTTGTAAGAGTAATATTAGAGTAGGGTTCAATAATTAAAAGCAATAGGCCTGTTCACTGAACTCGGGTAGGAGAAAATACAGGATGCTGGCACTGTGAACACAATCCATCATTTGCATTGTATAATGCTGGAACTGTGTAAACTGTGGAGTTGTGGAAAAAAAATGGAACTCTGGAAACAATTATTTTTTCATACAATTAAGGAGTGTGTCACCAAGTAAGTAAACCAACAACTCTGATTGTTTTTAGGCAACTTTTGTTCTGACACTTCCCTAAACTTTGAAAGCTTGGCTTTACATCTTTGACACAATTTTTAAACTAAGTGTATGTATGTGTCTATATATGCATGATACTTGACTTTATGCATTTCATTGTTGATTGAAGCAAACCCTTACTTTCTCTCTTAAATCAAGATCCTTGAGCCAAATATGGATTCATTTCTAGGGTATGCATATGCCTTTGCCTTTGTTGTTGTGGAAAGCTGCCTAATCTGTCAGGATCTTTAAAATTTCCATTATTAAATTAATCATGAAGAAACCATAGTCATTGGTTTTTTTGATGCAAAACTATTACATTAACTTACTTCTCACCAAATTTCAGCTAACTTCATCTATTTTTTTTAAAGTACTTTCCTCAGTCTTTATTTTGTTCAGTGTTTCAGTGCTGAGAGATAATATTTAATACATTCTTCTTTTTTTTTTTTTTTTTTTTTAAACAGATCTAATTGTTGTAGTTGCCTCAATTATTGTTCTGAGCATAGGATCTAATGGACAGGTGTTTGCCACCTCTGCAATAAGGTATGTTCTTCTAGTGACTGTAGCTCTTCACAACCACAGAGCTATATTAAATGTATATCTAATTTCCCAATTTCTGAATTAGATGTTTATGTAATTTTCCTAATATAGGAAAAGTTATTATGTTTAAACACTGGACAGTGGAAAACTGTGTGTTATTTTGCTTGGTCACTGGTTGGGAAACAAGAGTGCAGAAATGAGGAATATGAAGAATGGTGGGAATGATGAAGCCAAGAGGAAAAACTAAAGAAACATTATGTCCTATATAAAACATCAAACAACTCTTTCTCTGAGACAGAGAGTATTACAGAACATCAGTTTATTTAAGAAGTAATCCAGGCAGCACTTAACGCAGTACTTTCTGAGTACAAGTAATTACTTTGTTTAAAGAGTAATTATGCTTTGGTGGATTTGTTTGGCACACGTAACTCACACCATACATGAACCAGAAACATTTGATGTCTGCAGTGTTTGTTCAAATACTGCAAGCTTGTTTTGGGAAGTAAAGTGTGTAAATGAAAGAAAGGAATGACAAGCAAGAGTAGGTGTACTTCCCATTCCTTCTGTGCTGCATGTTCTGTTAAAGGCCTCTGATTTCCAGTGCAGTCTAATCACTGGGAAGTGAGAATGTCCAGTACTGTCTAAACTGTCTAACTACGTAGACAAATGCTGTAGGGAACTATATGCATGAAGTATTATTAAGGTAAGTATTACCAGAGAATAATAATCCCTACATGATGATAAAGACCCACAGGTGGCATGAATGTGATCTATCAGCCCATGTAGGGGAATATGAGGGTGAATGTGAAAATTCCAATGATTTTGTTTAATTTAACTAAAGCATAGGAAGAGCTTTAATGAAAAGGCCCGCTGTGGGTTTAATGTGAACCCAGGTGGCTTTGGGCTCAGTGCAGCCTTTCCTGGTGTTAAACAGTCACTGAGTCACTGTCCTACAGCTCAGGATGCTTCCTGCCCGAGAAACTTAACCCACGTCTCTGCAGTGTTGTTATGGCCCCATTGAAAAACCATCTGGGTCAGGCAAGTCTCAGTCTTATCAGGTTTCTGCAGACCTGTGATGCAAGTGTCTGTTTTTGAATTTAGAAGGAATGAATCTCATATCCTTGCCTTTTGTTGCTTTTAAGGTATAGTGTTATGGCCCTCTTTGGACCTCTTAAATCCCAGAGATCTCAGAAAGCATGGGTGCATGCTTGTTAGGTTGTTTTCTTGTAGAATTAAGTTGCAAGCTACAGAACTCTCTGGTATGACAGGTTGACATTTTCATCCCTGCAGCAACCAGTGAGACTGAAAACTAGTAGTACCGCAGAGTTCACAGCAGAGTCCTACAGCCTTCTGTCCTTAGTGTTTTAAGTTCACTAAATTGATAAAAATGGTCTTCTTTCAAACCAATTTCTTTTATCTTTTCAGAGGAAATGGGTTGTGCATGTTCAGAGGCTGTGTATCTGGAGCATCTTGTTCACTACCTTGTTTCTGAAATCTTTATTTGTAAAACTGCCAGTCTATAACATGCATGCCAACACTTGGCAGTAACACAGCTGTAACCATGTCAGATACAACAGAGACAGGAAAATCAAGAACTACTATTGGGTCAAGGCATCAAGAAGTATGTCTAATAATTGTACAGGGGAGCTACATGCGACTCCTTTCCTGACATAAGCAACCAATGAGCTATTACATTACATACCTGCTTCGTAGACAAGGGAAAGGCTGTGGGTGTGGTGTACCTGAACTTCAGTAAAGCCTTTGACACCATGTCCCATAGCATTCTACTTGAGAAACTGGCTGCCAAGGGCCTGGACAGGCATACTGTCTGCTAGGTTAAAAACTGGCTGAATGGCCAGGCCCAAAGAGTGGTGGTAAATGCAGTTAGATCCAGCTGGAGGCCAGTCACAAGTGGTCTTCCCTAGTGCTCAGTGTTGGGGCCAGTCCTGTTTAATGTCTTTATCAGTGATCCGGATGAAGGGATTGAGTGCACCCTCAGTAAATTTGGAGATGACACTAAGCTGGGTGGAAGCGTCGATTTGCTTGAGGATAGGAAGGATCTACAGAGGGACCTGGCCAGGTTGGAGCAATGGGCTGCAACCATCTCAACAAGGCCAAGTGCCAGGTCCTTCATGTGGGTCACAACAACCCCATGCAACACTACAGGCTTGGGTAGGAGTGGCTGGAAAGCTGCCTGACAGGAAAGGACCTGGGGGTGTTGGTTGATAACCAGCTGAATATGAGCCAGCAGTGTGCTCAGGTGGCCAAGAAGGCCAATGGCATCTTGGCTTGTATCAGAAATAGTGTGACCAGCAGGGCCAGGGAAGTCATCCTTTCCCTCTTCTCAGCCTTGGTGAGGCTGCACCTTGAGTACTTTGTTCAGTTTTTGGCCCCTCACTACAAGAAGGACATTGAGGTGCTGAAGCATGTCCAGAGAAGGGCAATGAAGCTGGTGAAGGGTCTGGAGCACAAGTCTTTTGAGCAGTGGCTGAGGGAACTGGGATTGTGTAGCCTGGAGAAAAGAAGGCTGAGGGGAGACCATGTCACTGTCTACAACTACCTGAAAGGAGGATGTAGTGAGGCAGGGGTGCGTCTTTTCTCCCAGGTAACAGGTGATATAAAAAGAGGAAATGGCCTCAAGTTGCACCAAGGGAGGTACAGATTGGATGTGAGGAAAAATTTATTCATGGAAAGGGTTATCAGGCAATGGAATGGGCTGCCTAGGGAGGTAGTTGAGTCACTGTCCCTGGAGGTATTTAAAAGATGGGTAGATGGGGTGCTCAGAGATATGGTTTAGTAGTGGATAAGTACGGTTGGACTCGATGATCTCAAAGGTCTTTTGCAACCAAAAGATTCTGTAATTCTATAAGTTTATTTAAGTCTATATAAGTCTAAAAGTCTATGTAAGTCTATAAGCTCATGTATTTGATAATCTTGTAATTCTTCTTGGAGTCATGTTTTAATTAACAGGTTTTAAGTGGTTATTTTAAAGTTTCCAGCTAATTAAAATTATTATTCCTATGGCATATCAAATAAATAACAAAACATGGTGTTCATATACCCAGTCACTGACATGTGATTTGATAGTCAGGATTATAGCTTGCTTTCCAAAAAAAATGACAAATGTTTGATCATTTGACTGTCAGCTGTGAAAGCTCAGAAAACCTGCTTTCTGAATAGAGGAAAGTTAGGTCTTTCAGAAGACAGTATGCCTTCCCAGTGACTGAGGATGGCACCGTGCTGAGTTTCCTGCCTGCTGGTATAAAATGCAGCCACAGTGGAATTTAAATAAAAAGGTTGAAATTAAAAAAAAAAAAAAAAATGAGGATAACTAAAAAGAGCTAAAAATACTTTTAGTTAAAAATTTTCAGATAGATTAATTCAACATTCATCATTTCCTGTTCTTCACTGTTTTGTTTCAGTGGTGAGATGGTGTGATGAGTGCAGGCAAACAAAGTTCATTTTTGAAAGGGTGGCTACAATGAAATATTTCCACTGAATAAAATTCTGCTGAACAACCATATGGATAATTATTTTTCTTTAGTTGAAAATACTTTGAGTTTGTTGTCCTAAAATCACATAGGACTGCATCTATTTCCAGTTAGTTATTTCTATAACTTACTCAACAAATACTTCAGTAATGCCATATTTGATTCACATTCTGCTTCTGGCAAATAGAGAAAAAAAGTTTGCTCGTATTTACATTAGCAAAGCTTGAAGCACTGGTTTTGCTTGGAAAGGAAGCATTTGAGAATCATAATCAGGTAAAATATGCAACTTTCCTCTGAGTTTGAAAGCATGTATTTTAGACCTTTTTTTTTTCTTTTAACTAATTGTTGTCTTGGCAAATATTTCTGAATATATATGAATATAATGAAATGTGATCTAAACATACTGTCTACTGAGATGCCTTAAGTCTAAGATGCAACCCTAGCCACAGGCAATGCTATCACAGTTCTCAAATATGACATAGTAAACTATGTATAGATAGAGCAGTGTTGTTCTCAATCATTAGATTTATTTTATGTCCTATTTTTCTTACAGGGGGATCCGGTTTCTCCAGATACTTCGCATGCTTCATGTAGATCGACAGGGTGGCACCTGGCGACTATTAGGATCAGTTGTTTTCATACATCGTCAGGTACTAGATCTTTAAAGATCCCCAGAATTTTGTTTACTTTAGTATATTATTTTCATGGACTTCAAATCATAGGCTGGTTTATAAGGACAGTTACTGTTGCAAGAGAAAAAATACTTCAAAAGTTCATCATGTGGGGTTTTTTTGTTTTTGTTTTCCTACTTTAAAAATGAGAACACTGTTCTTTACTTCAGGTCAGTGGCTAACAGAATATCAGCATCAGTGTTTTTTTGGAAATTAACTGCTGTACTCTGATTTTTATCTTTCAACATAATAGTAGTGGAAAAGCCTTGATAAAGTCAATTATTTAAATCATTCTATTTTCTCTGCCTCAATAATGAGTTTTCTATTCCATTCTATAAATAAAAATCCTAACTATGTTATGATAATATGCAAGAAAAGTTACTTTTTCAAGGGTGTAGTCACAGAGGTAAACTTGGCTTTTAAAGCTTTGAAACAGTTATTCTGTATAAAAGTTCATTAAGCAGGAAAAGCCTAAATGTTTTTGTGTAGACTTTTAAAAATTTCTAGCTGAAGGCTTCTTTCTGGGGCTTCATGGAATCTCTTGTTGAAAAGCCAACTTAGCTTTATGAATATAATAATAAACTTTTAGCCTTTAAATCTTGCATATCATACCATACTGTGGAGGGCTAATACTGTGCTATGAATCTTTACATCAGACTTGTAAGGGTGGTTCTTTAACCTATTCTTTATGAATCTTGATTTGTTCCCCAGGTACTCACAAATAGTTATAGATAGATTTCCACACAGACATTGTTTCATGTGCTATTTAGAAAACTGTTGTTCTGGCACAGAATGAGAGCTACCTAATCTGAAAGATTAATTTAATATAAAAGTTATTTTTCTTCCTTTTATTTCTGCACCCCTCCCATGCCCCCCCACTACAGTAGGAAATTCTGTGTCACGATGACTGTGCAGCATTGATGGACACCGAAGTGCTTTAATATAAAGCCTACTTTTAATGCTCCAAGTCTGTGTGGTCTTCATTTATTATGGTCACATTGCCTGGATATCTAGCCAAGGCAGAGCTGGTATCCAAATACAATTTCTCAACATTTACTAACCTCACTGACAGAGGTGTTTGAGAGAATATTTTTCTGTGGGTGTTCAGAATTTTCGTCAAGAATCTGGAAATACTATCTCCAAAATACAGTTCTGTCTTAAATGTCACAAACACAAATAAGTTCAATGATTTAAAGGGGAAAAAAAACAACCCACAACCCTTGGAGAAGTGAATTTATGAATAAATGCACCTGAATTTCTGCTAATCCAAAGAAGTGATTACGATGATATATAAAACACTGCAGATCTGTAGTACTTGTCAAAGCAGATCACCCACTAACACACTAAAAAAAAAAAAAAAATCAAACACACAGCTCTATATTGACATTGGACAAGTGTACCTGAAACCCTAGCATGGTACCAAATGGAACAGAAAATGGAACCTTTATTCCTGTCTGATCTCTTCAAGGAATTTTTGTTTAAAAAACCAAACCAAAACAAAAACACCTCAGCTGCTTTTGCTTTACAGGCAGAGTACAAGGTCCTCATTTATTTGTTGTTGGGTACTCTTTCAGAAAAAATGGGACCCTAAACCCTGAGACAGTGTAAGAAAATAAATTAATGTCTTTTAACCTGTGAAAATAGCAAGCACTTGGACCTCTGCAGGCCCAGAAGAGCTTACTGAATTTGTCACCAATGATTTCCATGTGTTTTGGAATTTTACATATAGCTGTATTAGCTCACTCAGGCCTGATTTGGCTAGGATGCTCTTCTATTTTCAGCAGGTTGAGCTTATACAAGCATTTCTCGCCAAAAGCAACAAAACATGAGTCAATATCACATGTGGTGATGGAAAGACATGGAAAAATCATGCGGCTTACTGAAAAACTGAGTTAGCCAATCCAGCTCCAGCTTGTAAGCCTCTCGATTAGTTTTACTTATTCCTCACCTTGTCTTGTGAGGTCATCTACTGCTTTGAGGAGGGAGTTACTGATGAGTTGCGGATTTGTTTGGGGTTTTTAAATTATTTTTAAGTGTTTAATTTTATTTTGTATAGTCCTTATTGTAACTGAAAATATAAATCTGTCTAAGTTAAAAAGATGTGTTGAATCAAGTCTCTCAATATTCAAATTTACCTTTGTTCATATTTGGGTTTTGTTCTTGCTGTTTCCTTTGCATATATGTATCTGAAAGTCCTTGCTGAAAACAGTCATCTGTTCTTTATTCTTAAGCTCTTATCTATTAAAAATTCATACCAATGTGAAATTTTAAGGCCTAATTTCTGCAAAATGCTCTTCACTTTGACATCATGTATCAATTCATGCTATTTGGCATTGTTAGACACCACTCCATCCTTATTTCTTTAAGCAGCACATATTATTTGTAAATCTTCTATGCTCTCTTTCATGCAGTATGTATTAGATTGCTGCTATTGTTCTTATTAAATATAGGCATGTAGTATTTTGCCTTTCAATACATATGTAACATGGAGTGACATTTAGAATAACTCTAAGGCAATTACATTTGCATCTAGGCTTTACTTAACAAGAGTTCAGCCTTTAGATGACTAGGACTGGAGTTGAGAGGTGCCAATAGTCAAATAGTAGTTCTGCTGATATTTCAGCCTCTTTGAAAGGATCTTATAAGACTCTGTGTAGCACTTCTGAAAAGCATTGTTTTTTGTGCCTGCTTCTCAAAAATCCAGCACTTAACACTGAACTATTCCAATTATCAACTACTCTCTAATTCTGTCATCACTGCAAGTAGTGATAGCCATTCCTCAATAACATGTAAAAATCTGTTAATATCTGAGGTGCAAGCAAAATGCCAAGTGGAACTAAAAAATTTCTGTTGGTGTGGTAGGAAGTCAGAAATCTACCAGAGATGAAAGCAGAGTGTTTTCTCTGTAAGCAGGGAACAAGAATTAGTCTCCATTTCTGTTGTAGTTTTCTATGGATCACTGAACTTACAGTCTCAGGTACTAAACAGTTTTGTCTTGCATTGAAAAAATACTGTGTAGGCAAACCAAAAAGTTGTGGAAAATTAGAGAAATGCAAGTAGTCAACTATAAATATAAATATAAGGAACTGTTCAGAGCAATTAAGTCCTATCTACAAGTACACTGTGTATTATTATTAGAGAAAAAAAAAAATGAGGAAAGAATGGTGACCAGCATAGAAATATGAACTACTGAAACTGGAAGGTTTATTTCCTCCTTTAGCTACCTTGTTTAGCAAACAGGCCTGCAAAAAGTTAAGGCTTAGATTAAAAGACTTGCCCAGGGCAAAACAGAATACTATTAGAATTAATTGTTAGGTCACTGTTAAATGATTAGGGAAAAAATACCTACTTTGCTTTGTGCCAACATTGCTTAAAAACTTGCTGAACCTAGATTTTAAGTAGCGCTATAGCAGAAGGAACAGCGTGTATAGTTCATGCTGCTGAATGCAGTTACTAGCTACTAGGGCTGCATTTTCTCAGGAAGCTTTTATAGAGAAATTGAAAGAAAGAAAGAAAAAGAAAGAAAGAATCTGAAGGGAGTTTGATGATGAAACCTAAACATTCCTTCATAAATGGTTTAAGAAACCTGGGTAGAGCATTACAGAAAATCTATGAAAACCTGACATACTTTATAAGTAAAGGAAATCCTTCTTAGATAGGTTTTAATTTAAAATTTTTCTTATAGGAATATTTGAATTCCTTTACTTGTTTGGATCCAAGGAGGGAAAAATAAGTCTATCAAGAATTTAAGGAAGATGTCAGTAAAGCTGTAGTACTACAATGTTTCATTATAAAGATGACTAAATATCTAAAAAAAAAATAAAAAAATAATAATATGTGTTAACTCCTGAAGCACTGTAAACTTTAAGTAATTAAAATAAGCTATTTTCCCTCATAACTAGATATTGGATTTTCCTGAGGGGTAGATGTCTGTCCCATTTGATTGCAATCTAGTACTTTTTTAATAAGTTTTACAGTTTTTTGCCTCTGTGACACCACACATTTTGGCTTGTTTAAATGCGTAAGCACTTTTCCTGAAGACTGTAACAATCCTGTATCTAAGTTGCATCAGTTCCGATACAACTTTCCTGTCCAAAAATCTACAAAGAAACTGGTACGTTCACAAGCACTGTATCGTGCCCTAACAAAAGTCTCTTCTAATAAACTGGCCTAGTCTCAAACAGTCTTTGTTATTCAGGACTGAAGTAGAGGTTACACCAACGTATTTTATCTTAAGATTTTATTTTATCTTAACATGAAACTGTTAAGGCATTGATATTCAGCCTTATGCCATCTAAATGTCAGATACGCAAGTTCATTGCTTTGATAGTCACAATCACAAGACACAGTTGTTATTTCTTAACTGTTATTTTAGCGTACTGTCCATGAAGTGCATTTCTAAAGCTCTTTTGCTATTTTAAAAATCTATTAACGTTTGGTATTTTGAGTGGACAGTTAAGTGGAGTGATTCCCATTCACAAGACAGAAGAGGAGAGATGTCCCACCCTATATTTAGCTGTCCAAGTGATTTTGTATAAATGATGGCTTCTAGAATTCTTTAGTAACATATAAAGAGAAGACAAGTCACTGAACTACCTGTTTTAGTGGAAGCAAATTTCATACCTGAAATATAAGTTATTAATTTTTCTACTGTGATGCAACACCCCCTCCCCAGATTTTTACAATAATAGAATATATATTATGTAAACCTTATGTACTTGTTTGCTTTCTCTTTTAATAGGAACTCATAACCACGTTGTACATTGGATTCTTGGGTTTAATTTTTTCATCCTATTTTGTTTATCTTGCTGAGAAGGATGCAGTTGATGAAGATGGAAAGACAGGTTTCTCCAGCTATGCTGATGCCCTTTGGTGGGGTGTGGTAAGTCTTTACCAACAAAATGCATGTGCAAACTTGGTGCACAAGATTTTCTGTTGAAGTTGTGATATTTTTAAAAAATCTGGTGTTTCTTTGCAGAACAGGAAACTCAACAACCCTTTAAAAGGATATAAGAAAAAAAAATACAATTCAGTTATTTTGGTATTAAACTTTATTGTGAAAGCATGAGAGGAAGTCCTTAGCAAAGGACATTGATTCTTTACAGACACAAAAAGTCCACATTGAAGTTAACATTTCAAAAAGCATATAAATACCCTCCAAAACATATACCACTGCTTTTAAACCCTACTTAACTATCTGCAAAAGGTGCGTAACTTTAAACGTTTATTCTATTTGTGGAGGTTGGGTTGATGAGTCTAGTTGTTTTGGATCTTTTTGTGTAAAGCTCACTCTCAGTAACAATGCAGACCTTGATGCAGGTTACAGGTTCCTGGGTTTTTTTAATAATTCCATGATTCACTGTAAACATAAATAGCTCCATCTAAAGCTGCTGGCAAAGCTTCACAGCTTCAGCTACTTTGGATATGAATCATCAGTCAAAGGCAGTGCAAATCTTTGGTGAAATAAAGGAAAAAAACATCATTAAGAAGGAACCAGGATTTTGAGAGCAGTGGCGATTACTGTATGCATGCCCAGAATCAGATAAAAAAGGGAATAGATAGCTAGGAACAGAATAAGAAACCAAATTGTTTTTACACTTCCTTCATATGGCTCTTCTCATCTTGTTTCTCACTGTGACTCGTGCTTTCCCACCTTATTAGCTGTTGCACAAACCATCCCTTCTCTTGTGGTCTCTTTACCCCCACTAGAGAATCTGTATTTTATGAGTTGCCTGTCTTATTATAACAAACCCAAAGAGATCCATTGCATCAGTGTTAGTGACAGAGAAAAATGAGACTACAGCAGATGCAGAGCCACCAACTTTCAGAGAGAGAAGGATATATTGCAAGAGTGTTTTGAAAACACAGTAAACTGTATTTGTCCTTAGATAATAGACTTTAAAAATGCCAAACGGTTATTGGGCCATAAACAAATTGTTTATCTGCATCCAAATACACTGGTGAGACAAAAAATTCCTAATAGATACACGTTTCCAATTCTTAGATGCTGCATAAGCCTCTACCTCAATGAAGTATATAGAAATGTAGATTATATTGCATGTACCCTGAATTATCACTTTTTAAGTGGTTCAGTATAAAAAAATCTATTAAACATTAAATTCCTGTCATTAGGTTGTCAGATATTCATTTCATTTGCAGAGTATTACTTATGGCTGTGCAAAACAGTAAAAAACCAAAAAGAATCAAATAAAAAAGAAAAATCCACTAAATTGCCAAATGGACCTGATTATCTAATGTGCTGGGCAGAAATGAAACCATGAACTAGCCCATACAAAAATCACTTGTTAAACTCCTCAGTAGACACATAAAATTTTCATAACTTAAAACCTCATGGTTATAGACATGAGATAACCTCTAGCTAGTGGAGGAAATGAATAAATATCCCAGAAGCACAGATCGTTCTAGATTGTAAGAGCAAAATTAAAACAATTAAAGTGTAATTGACATTAGGAAAGACACCCCATGTCTACTTTAAGAAAAGAAACCAGTACACAGGCTCACTTATTCTGCTATTGTTTGAGCAGTTCAGCTCAAATACCAGTGTTCAAATGACTGAACCCAGCTACTGTTTCTGTTTTTACTAATGATCTAGCAGAAGAGTTTGTGAAGTACATCTAATTAAATGTGGGACTGCTTGTGAGAAGTTCATCAGCATTAGAGTCTCCCATAAAAGTTTGTACTAGTTCAGCTACACCTGTGAGAAATATCTCATAATTTTTTCTAGCATAATGAAGTACCAAAGAAGTTTGTAGCACCATATGAATTAGAATGACACTAGTGAAAGAAATTGAAAGCATATATTTTATTAACAAGGATGTCTTAATTTAATACGTAATCATTAAAATAAGGTGATTCATGTTTTCTCTGCACAATATCTTTGGTGACTCATAAAGTAATTCCTAGGCCTTTAGGAAGGCCAGAAATGCCAAAACTCAGACCTGAATGAGAGGGAAGAACCACCGCTTATCAAACTGAGGGGAGCAAGGTACAGTGGAAAACAAAAAAGGATTTTCAGTAATCAGTTTGAGAACTAGCTATGGATATTAACATCCAGTTCTGCCCATGTATATTAATGCATGAGTTATTCCTGCATGTAATAAAATTTCTATGTGGAGCCAGTGTACTTTTTCTCTTTCCTTCTTTTTAAAATTTTTTTAGCTCTCCAGAGCTTGCTTTGAGTAGCATTGAATTTTTAGATATAGCTTACAAAATATTTTAAAATGCTGTAAGCAACAGCCCTGATTTGAGTAAAGAGTAAAAATTAAAGACAAAAAAGTCAGTATGTGTTTTTACAGGCATATTTTGTTAATTCTTTGGACTTAAGGAATTTAATAAGAGTTCAGTTATGAAGACCAACAAATAAGTTTAAAATGTGTATTACTTTACCTTGTTGAGATAGATTATTTGGAATCTGTATTTCAAAGTGTAAATATATCTCACAAATTGTTCAATGGGTTTTGTTTTTTTCCAAAACTTGACTTGTTATGTGTAATAGAAAAATAAAATCAGCTTTGTCTTTCTCTAGCTGCATGAGGCACTTGAAGAACACTGTTTAAATTGTTGTTTAAGCTTTCCAGACATCTAGGCCTCCTCAGCATTAGTGCGTCACGGTGCAGGTGCAGTTCACAGCTGGGAACAGTGACAAAGGACAAAGTGAATCAGTTTCTTTTTCTTTTCAAATCTTCTGTAACATAGAAACACAGATGTGGAGTTACCAGGGAGTGAAATTTGATTTCACTTTTGCATTTCAAAACTGAACCACAGGAAAAAAATCTGCAAGTATTTGAAAGTCTTATGTGTCTGACAAAAACCACAGAATGCATTATGAGTAACGTTTTGCTTTGAGTAGAAAGTGCAAGCTTGCTGAACTTGATACAAATGACCTGAAAGGTTTAAATATGAAGAAAAGGGAAAATAAAGAATGAATGAGTGTTGGAATTAAATGCTAACTACATTCACCCACTCCAGTTAAATGCAAGGTTGTTTCACCTAGATTTGGCAGGTGCACAGATTAAACTGCAAAGGCATATCAAAAGCTTGTGGTATTTTATATGAAGACACTTTCAGAAGTTATATCATGTTAGAACACATACAAAAGCATTTCCAACAGCACTGACAGTCTGCCAGAATTGCAGCACGTCACAGCAGTTTTTCTGTCCTTTCTGGGTGTTTTTTCTTGAGGAAAGAAAAAGGGCATGTAGGAGGCTTCTCTTCTGTTGGCCCTTCTATGCTTGTCTCTTGCTGTTGGTAATACTCATTGGTTTTGTCACAAACTGAACAATTCTGTACCACTGAACTTGAGATATGGTCACTCAATTAAATTGTTATTAACTGGCAGAGGTACTTGGGATCAATTGCTCAGAATTTACAGAGGTAGCAGTTTGAACCCCTTTATATTTCTTTTTTTTGAGGAGTGCAGTTCTGACTTCAAACTTCAGGACACCTTCCTATCTTAAAGCATGCAAGATGCTCTGTTGATTTCTAGTAAATTAGAGTTCTTTTTTTGAAATGTGCATATATGTTTTCAGAGTCTGTGTTAGAGCATATGCATACCAACTGGAATATGCCATAGTAAATCTTTGTTAAGAAGGAAGTATCTTTTTCCAAAGCCTAGTTACTAAACATTCTCTGAGCAGATAACTAGTAACTTCTGGGTATACAAGTAGAAAAAGATTCTGGTTGTGGTTAAGAAAGCCAGAGAATTACATTATTTATAATGCTTTCCACATACTTCAATGCACTAATTAGATTCCCAAGAAGGAACCCTCTTAAGGTAGCCAGGGAGAAACTTTCTGAGGCATGTTGAGGCACCTGCAGGAGTCTGCCAGCCAAATGCCTGCTGTATAGATGGAAAATCATCTTTCCTGTGGTTACAGCTTTCATGCTGTCTTCCGTAGTAATACTAAGGCAGCTCAACATTACTGCAGTTTGTTTTCAAGTCCTGAGTGCTGCAGAACTACAAAAAAAAATAACCCCAAAAACCAAACCACAAAAAACCAAGAAGCCTTTCATAAGAAAAAAGAGAGGAAAAGGAAGGAAAAATCCTAGACTTTAAGGGGTCATCTGGGTGCACCGAGGAGCTGAAGTGCCATTAAAGAAACACTGCTTTAACTTCCTGAGCTCCGCACTAACACACACTGTATTTAAAAGTTGAATTTTGTGGGGTCTAGTTTAATTTGGGGAGCTGGCAAACTCATCTGTTTCTTCTGCTGGTAGTACGCAGCACGAGTCACTTCATGGGCAAGCTGCATTAAATCTGGACAAACACCTGGTAAGACAGAGATCCTGCTGAGAGCAGTTTGTAGTTCAAAATGACAATATTCCCTCAAAGAGATACATACTGCAAAGTTGACTTCATCAAGTGAGAAATTCTTGATGAAAAAACACAAGCCTAATTTTTTTTTTTTTTTTTTTTTTTTTTACACTGGAAAAACTCAGTTTGGTAGTAGTTGGTAATTTTTTCCAAATCTTCCTTCTAGCTCTTTGTAGAACTGCTCTTGGAGGAGGAAGAAATGTATTCTTCCCCTGCCTTCATTGCGGATAGGTTGTTCTGAGAAGGCTATTTTTGCATAATATCTAAGTATTTGTCAGCAACTTTTCCCATAAAAGGCAGTATTTCCACATCCTCTTTTGTAGTCAGTGTAAATTTTCATGTTCTTTTAAGTCTGTTTTGGCTGTATTTCTGCTACCATTCAAGGCAAAGTGAAGGGATTGGGACTGGTGTGGGGCTGGTACTCCCAAATAGAAGTACATTTTTTTCTATTTAAAGCTCTCCCCTGTGGTTGGTATTGGTGACAGAATTCTTAATTTCCTCACTAGAAGCTTTCCACTTCTCAGGGGTGCAAGTAATCTTTCTCCTACCATTTTATGGCAATGTCAGGGCTCTGAGTATGCTAAAAAGCCCTTAATGGCCCTGATTAGCCACACCTGGGGCCACCCAACACCCACAGCCCAGGGGCCCTATTTAGGCTCAGCCCTGGGTACTTATCCCCTGCCTGAGCTGTGCTGGGAGAGAGCTGATCTCCAGCTCAGCCATGGTCTGGTAATCTAGACCTCAAACTATAGGCTGACTTCCATACTTGACCTCAGACTTACCTGATCACCTTGATATTGATATTGCCTTGTGATTTAGATTCTTTGTTGGACATGGCTACTGTCTGTGAGTCTACCATGTTCGTAGGGCTGGGCCCAGGGTGAGAAGGCCCCTGTCTGGCCAGCTGTGGGATTCTCTTGGCTTGCCTTGGGATCCCTCCTTGAGATCACCTTCTGATGAGGAGCAGCTGGCCCTTGTTACATTACAAACCCTTCTGATGGACCAGCTTTCACCTGGACTCTGATCCCCCCACAGCACCAAGCCTTTTCTGAGCTTTGGGCTTCTAATAAATATTCTCCCAGCCTGCTGGGGCTCATCAGGAACAGCCCAAAACCTCTGTCCTACTCAGGCCCTCCTTACCTCTGTGGCTTTTCAGGGGTGGCCTGTCCCCTGCAAGCCCTGAGTTGCTGATATGATGTCCCTTTCTAGTTTGCTGTCCCTGTTCTGTATCTGTGCCATGGAAAATGCTACTGACATCCCCACAGTGATGTAGATTCCCAGACCTGCATGAGGACATGCCTTGCTGAGAGGGGAAGCTGTTGTCAGGGTCCTGAGGGCAATAATTGGCCTAATTACCCTGACCAGCATCACCTGTGGCCTCCACCCACACCCAGGAGCTCTATTTAAGCTCAGCACTGTGCTGGAGGGGAGCTGGTCTTTAGCTCAGCTGCAGCCTGGGTATGGAGTTCTTTGATCATGACCTCAGATGGAGCTGACTTCCTGGCTTGATCTTGGCTCTGTGACATTGCTGTGGACTTACTTGCTGACCACTAGACATGACCCTAACCCTGACCTGCGCATGGACTCCCTACCTTAATGTCAGCCCTTCCTTGTTGCTGTGATATTGCTTTACAAAATGGACTCTCAGTTGGACCTGGCTTCTCTTCCTGCGTCTGTCTTGTTTGGGTGCTGTGGGACTGCCCTGCTGCCTGTGTTATCTCTGTTGACTCTGGGCTACCCCTTGCCTGGGGAGCATTTGGCCCTTCTTGCACCCTGAACAGGCAACGAGCAGATCCAGGTATGGTAATGTGGTTCATCCCATGGCTTAAATGCAATTTTGAGTGGCAAAGAACTGTATTGGGGGGGGGTGGGTGGTGAAGCTGAGCATGAGCTGTATTTTGCTTTTTGCCTCTTGGCATATTTACTTTGAGAGGTTAAGTGTCCTGGAATGGTTGTGTGTTCCTCCTTCTTTTGTGAATAAATGGTGTTAGTTCTGCCCCTTTATGTTCTTGCCAGCAGCTGCATAGCTTACCCTGCCACAGCTAGTACCTCTGACTGCAGAGTTTAGCAGATGGCTGTGTGTTGGTTGCGTGCGAGTTGGCACTTCTAAGCTTTCTTCTCAACCCTGTAGAACTACGTTTTAAAAGCAAAAGCAGAAAAACTGCAAGCCTACAGTTTCAAGCCCACAGGGCAGCACCTTGCAGTTTTGGGAAGGTAGAAACAGCCAGTGACAAACTTTGAGAACAGTCACCCTGGGTCCGGCTTACTGTTCCATCCAGAACAGTGGCCTGTTGTGAGCGCCTGCTGAAGAATGTAAAAATGAGATAAATTTACAGTGATGCTTAGTGTACTCTTTTGGTTTCCTTATGGCCAAAGCCAAACACTGTTGATCCATATGTATCTCCTAATACTATTTTACATTGTCTTCCTGCTTTTGGGGAGAAAAGGTACTGTATTGCACTGAGTCAGATATTTTTTTCTGGCCTAGGTAACAGTCACAACAATTGGTTACGGAGACAAAGTTCCCCAGACTTGGATTGGGAAGACAGTAGCTTCCTGTTTTTCAGTATTTGCTATATCTTTCTTTGCTCTGCCAGCGGTAAGTAGAATTTTGTTCAATTTTTAAAGTATTTGTCTGACTTGGGCTCACAATTAGATAGTTTTAAATTGGTGCCATCGATAAGAAATAGTGGAGTTAGGTGTTGCTTCAGAATGTGCACGCACACATCCTTAAGTGTACGTTTGTGTGTCTGTACACACATATGAATAAAACTGCTGTGTCTTTACTACAATCATTTTAGATAGATGTGGCCTGTAAAAAGAACTGTCACTACTCAAAAAACTGAAGGTATTCTGTGAGGTAAAGAGAGAGAGGTTTTGTATCAGCACGTCAGTGTCAGAGGTGAAACTTCATTCATTTCTGCTGTTTTGTGATTATATAAGAACAATTGGGAGCCCCGTGAGGAGAGGAACACTGCCATGAAGCAGGGGTCTAGGAAACTACATCTGCTTTCTTACTTGGTACTATAAAGCATCTTTGGGCTTTTTCAATCTTCAAATATCTGAATGGGGGGAAAATAAAGACAACAACATAAAAACAACTAGAAAAGACAAAAATATTTCTTCAGTAATTTTCACTTTTAATGGAAATGCTGAAGTTATAAAGCATATCTTTGTCGTCTTAGCTCAATTTGTCTGGGAAATCAAACCGGGTTCTGGCTTTAGTTGTGGGGGGGGGTTGTGGCAAAGAAGTAAAAACAAGTGTAAAGGACAGCTGTAGATCAGTCATGTGACATTAGCATTTGCTTGTCCCACCTTTGTGCAGGGTTGCCTTTGGAACAACCTCTGTGAATGCCTCTGTCTGTTACCTGTAGATCACAGCAATAGACAGGTGAAGTTACATGATGCCAATATATAATGGGGGTGATGGTTTTAAACTAGAAAAGGGTAGATTTAGGTTGGATATTAGGAAAAAACCTCTTCAGTATAAGGGTGGTAAATCACTGGAACAGGTTGTGCAGAGAGGTAGTGGAGGCCCCATCCCTGGAGATATTCAAGGTCAGGCTTGATGGGGCTCTGTGCAATCTGCTCACGAAGTCCGGGCTTACTGTAAGGGGGTTGGACTAGGTGACCCTTGAAGGTCCCTTCCAACCCAATACATTCTATGATTCTATGAAGATCAACGTGCTCAATTTCAGATTTATTTGTTGCAGTAGATAGATTTCTGTCACTGGACATTTGAAAATTCAGAACTTTTTCTAGGGAGGTTTCTTAAAAATGACTGTTTGTTTCATGTTAAATATTTATTTTAGGTATGTGAAGCCATATTGGAATCTGACTAGTACTTTTGCTTATACTTTTAGGGTATTCTGGGGTCTGGTTTTGCCCTGAAAGTACAGCAAAAGCAACGTCAGAAGCATTTCAATAGACAAATCCCAGCTGCAGCCTCTCTAATTCAGGTAAAGCCCCTAACAGTAAAATGCTTGAGAATACTGGAGAGAGAGTGTAGCCTAGTAGTTAAGGTACTGAGAATCACTGTTACTAGGCTTTATTATAAATCTGTAATTTGTGTTTAACCACTTTTTTTTATCTACTTCAGTCACTAGAGAGAATTAGATCATTGCCTTTCTCCCCTCTTAAGAGTGAGCATAGGAGGCTTTACTATCCTGATACTCACAAGCATAAAGACACTAACTGGATGCAATGAGTCTAGTTAACAAAACAGTAAAAAAATATACATATCTTTGTTATAATCTTTAATCCCTAACTTGCTTTTTATATTCCCATAGGTCATGTGCATCTACCAAATCCTGAGGTGATGAATATATATGCATATACAAGTATACACACACCTCAGTTTAGAAAAATGTCCCAGCAATAACATTCTATATAATAATATAAAGAATGCAATAGCATGGTGCACAAATACTAAAGTGTGGCACACTGCAGAAGAAGGGAAGCAGCAGCAGTATTATATGATGTTTGTGGGAATTCACTTTTAAGTTGTATGGTTTGGTTTTTCCCTCTTTGGGCAGGGTTAACCCCAGTTCCTCGGGATAACGGTACAAGCAGCGTACTTAAGATGCCTAGTGCAAATAGGAAACAGTTACGTACAGGCGAGAGTGTATTTTATTAGGCATGGTGTTGTGTGGTATAGCACAGTAATTGCAGTCGGGACCCTTTGCAGCGTGTTTACACTAATTGAAGATTTTTCCTGTAAGTTTGATTTGCAGAAAAATCTGGTTTACCTGTCCTGCACAACAGTGACTGTGTATTCACTGAGATTATTGGTTTGTGGTTTTATTATAGACTCTATGGCGGTGCTATGCAGCAGAGAAATCCTGCAGTTCTACAGCAACATGGAAGATCTATGTTACATCACCGGTGCAAAATCCCAAAAAACCACCAGCGCCATCTAGCCCTAGTCTGAGAAAACAGGTAATGGAGAGTTGGCAGAGCTCTATTCTATTCTTGCTTTTAACTTGATTGGGATAACTTGCCAAAATCCTTATGAAGTCTCCAAAGAATCTGGAGAGCTGAAAGCCCTTTATAATGGGTAATTTGATTGTTTTCCTCATGCCACAGCATGATTAGTTTAATTTTCCTTAAAATATTCCTGAGGGACGGGAAAATTAAAATTTACCCTGGTGGTCTGACAGGTGCTGATTTTCCATTTTTTTTATCTCCTTTGATGTCTCCTCCACCTTCTCAAAGGGTAGTGTAAGTAAAAAAATTTCCCATTTTTGCATTCATTTTGTGTAGTAGTTCATACAGGAAGAAAGGAGAAAGGTAGTTTGAAAATTTATATTCACACTCGACATGTGGCTGACAGTATCTATGCTTGTCTTGCTCAAGTACTTCTCTCCGTGGTACTTTTATCTGGGGCTGTGTAGAAATTTGGGCAAATTCCTAGGCTGTGGCTGCAGTAAAGTGGAAAGTGTGTACAGGTGGGATTCCCAAGCTATGTAGTTTCATTGACAAGTTTGCTTTAACCTTCAGCACCCCTCTGGAAAGGCTCAGGTCTGCAGCAGGTCTAGCTCATATACCCAGAATTTCTAAAGTGATGTTAGAGGCTTGGTTTTAGGCAGCAAAATAGCACTGATGCCTGTTGCCCAGCAGAGAATTGCGGTATGATTTCCCCAGAGCACGTGTAGAATGATCTGTGAACATGTATATGTTTTGGTGTTACAACAGCACAATCTACTCTGTGCTGAGCAGAGTGTAGCTTTGCCATGAGAGTAGCTTCTTCATACCTAGAGGTAGAAGATCCAGGAGGAAAGGGGCAAGGCTGAAGTAAGGCTGGATAGTATGTGTTGCTGAACAGCAAGCAATCAGTGGTGGGAGAACTGGAAAAAAAAGATAATTTTTAGTGCCCTTGGTATGTTCCCTCTGTTTTCTCTAGTGAGAGGGATTTTCCTAATGTATTATTAAACCTGAACTTCCCTGTGAACTGCTAACTCTAATTCAATAACATTATAATGATTCTTTCATTCCTTAACAATGGATTGTCCTCTCTTATCAAAGGAGACTAATTCTTTCTCTAGCTAGTCTATTAATTTTCAAGACTTCAATGTATATTGAGCATCTTTCACATGTTATAGCTTTTTGTTCTCCAGAGAATTCATAGTTTCTTTTCTGGCTATGAGAGCCTATAATCTTTGCCTTAGGAAGCATTTTGATGCATGGTATTGCATCTATTGTCTACAATAAGTGTCCATTTCTACCATTTTTCATGCCCTGTTTGATTAATTTTGAACATACTTTTTAAAATTGCTGCAGAGCTGAACAGAAGAATGAACTCTAAAAGACTGAATAAAAACTGTAATAAAATAGAATTGGGTTACTTATACAAAGTGGTGTTGTGCCATTTGTGAATATATTGAGCCTGTTTGTGTTTATATGTGTGAATAACCAATCTCTCTGATGATACTTATCTCTGCTAACTGCTTAGCAGAGGTGAGAGTATATTGCAGAATTGAGTGCAGTAGCCCTAGATCTCAACTTCTTGTCAGAAGGTTACTGGAGCATCAGACAAGTTAAAATATGCTTCTTACCTCTGTTTTGAGGTGTGTGAGTAATAGAGCCAAGGGTAGGTAGTCATGAAGACAGGAAATAAATGCTGTGTTGTAAGAAGTAGTATTTATACAGCTAAGTGGTGGCAGTATGCAGGAGGTAGACAGCACAGGTCAAGTATTCAGTTGTTTGTTTTTTTTCTTATGTACCAAGTGTAGGGTGTTTATTGGGTTGCTTCTCAGGCTTCTAAAATCAGGAGAACTTCAACTTTGGAGGTAGGAGGAAGGAAAAAACTAATTGAAAAAAACTACATAGTGCCTAGCTCATAATTCAAAGTCCATGGTTAATGTTTAATTAGAATTTTAGAAAGATGTTACAGCCAAGCTGTTGAATACTCAAGTGATTAGTATTTTGAGTGCCTTGAGTTTTGGACCCAGTTTAAGAAAATTTACTTGAGACCTGATTTTCAGAATGTGCTAGACATCTCCTGAGAATGAAATTCTTACCAGATTTAAGTTGACAATTTAAAATCAGCCACTTGAAAAAGTTAACAGAGGATGTAACACTTTCACTGAATTTCAATTGCTTTATTTAAAAAAAAAACAACAAACAAACAAGCTCAAATGGATTTACTGTATAGTGAAGTTCACATGTGTACTTTTCTGGTTTTAATAGTATGTTCTGATATCATCCTGTTTCCCACAGGCTAGAAGATACAAAAGAAAAGGAAAACTAGGCTTTGGTAATGGTTCTGCACCTATAATAAACCCAGGAGAGAATTCCTTGTCTATTCCACAGATCACTTATGATCACATTGATGAGCAAGAAGGCAAAAAAGAGGTGTCTTTCTACATTGATGAACCAGGAGGTAATTTATTTTCACTTATGTTCAGATTGGCACTTTTTAAAATACAATATTAAAATAAGTTGAACTGATAAAGGAAAAAGTCTGTGGGGAAAAAATAATTTCAAACTAATCAGTAAAGCAAGATGCCTTAAACCAAGGACAATTACATAACAAAAACGGGGACACAAATTAAAAGAAATCTTTAGATTCATGTGGTGTGAACATCAAAAGAGCTTTTTTTGTTTACCAAAGTTAACTCAATTAAGATTTTTGGATATAGTGTTAATTCTACTTTTTTGAATTATCTTGGAGCTGGATGGAAAGGTTCCTCAAATCTGCCCCACCTTTAAACTTTACCTCACACAAAGCCTGAAGAAAGGAAAATAAACCAGGAAAAATATCTTTACTTTTTTACAGCACCGTGTTAAACATTGTGCAAATAAATTGTGATAGGAACAGCTAAATATTTTTATGCCTATGTCAATCAAGGTGTTTTGATAAGTGGGATTTTTTTCTTGCTGCATTTAAAATATTATGTGTTGCTATAAGTGGCTGTTGTATTTCAACCTGGAAACTGTCTGAATTTCACTGCTAAGCTAAGATACTGCTTCTTTTTTTTTTTTTTTTTGTAAAATTCTCTTTTTAAATTTAGTTTGTAGTGGAAATGTGAGTATGAAAATAGTATTGCTTGCTATTACATGAGGGAGTTTTTTTTGAAAGCCAATTTTTCTACCTTTGCATTAATTTCCTTTGTCTGATGGAGTTTGGGAAACTTAACCTAGTTCTGGATCTGGTAAATCTTTATCCCAAGGGGAGGTTTTTTCCTCAGAGTCTGAGGAGTTATATTCCATACCTAGAGGTATGCAAAGCCTTGCCAAGTTAACTGGGATATCCAGAGATGTTTGCCCTAGTTAAAGGTATGTTATCATGGGGTGTTTTGACTTAGGTGTTCATCTGTCTCTGATAAACCTGAACATCAACTCTGTATAAAATGGCTACTCTTGCATGACGTTGAAGGTGACACACTATTTCAGCCTGGAGAGCATATGGATGTAGTTGTGACATGATAGTTTCTTTAATAAAAAGTACTTTAAATATTTTTACCCCCAGAGGTAATATGTAGTGTGCTCTGTATTGAACACAATCAAAAGGAGGAGTTTCACTGTGTTGCTAAGACTTTACAGGGTTCTAGATTGACTTGTCAGTGCAACCTATGTCACCCATACTAGAACAGTCAGTCAGAAGTGAAATAGCAGGGAGCTGCAAGCTGTGGCATATTGAGGCACATCTGTAGGAGCATCTGGCTCCCACAGGGATGTAGAAAGACCTTCAAGCCTCTGGTTCATGCAACCGATAGCTCTGAGCTGCCATTGTGGGAAGAAGAATTTCTTTCTTCCATTGGTTGATTTTTTCATTACCCTTCACGTTCTTCCTTATGTTTTATAATCTTATATAAATCTTGTGTCTGTCACTTTGAGGTCAGAACGCTTTTCAGCAATGATGGTATTTTAATTGTTTTTGGCATTTCCAGTACTTTTATAGTGTTCTGGGAAAGGGGAAGATGGGTGTGATTTAGAAATAAAGTTGTTGCTTTAACTGCATATCTCTTAACAAAATACTTCATTTATTAGAGCTGTGCAGCTTCCCTTGCTGACCATGTAATAAAAGACTTTGACTGATATCAAAACACTCTTAGCAATGATGGACAAAAGAATCAGTGTTGTGTAACTTCTAACAGTACTGAAGTCAGTTAAGTTGTTGTCTGTATTCATGACCCTGCCAGCACACATTTATTCACTTAATTTATGTTCCTTAAGTGTTCATAGTTAGTCTGAGAAAAGGTTTGTGCACCACAGGAAAGATATTGAAAAGGCAAGCCTGTATCTCTTTGCCTGACAGCTTGGTAACAGGAAAATGAAAGATTTTTTTTCCACTTTTTCTGAAAATATTTTCACATTGTATTTTTATTATAGCTGTTCTAACTTATTATTGTTCTGAGAGACAAGAATGTTCTTGTTCTGAGAAACACACATATTATTCCCTTACCAATTAAGTTCTATCTATTTTTCATTTTCTTTCACATTTGCCTTACCCAGTGTCAGGGGTAAGTCACACTTCATTTGATTTTTCTGATTTATTCCTTCTGTTGCAAAGCTTCCAGGAATGTAGTTGGCTAACTCAATTGCCCAATTGACTCAACATTCTTGACACCTCTCAAAAGTTTAAACCTGATTTCTTTCAGTGAATTTCTCCTTGCCAGAATTAATGGGTTTCCATTATTGGGAAGTAGAAGTACTAGGCTTCCAGCCTGTAAATGGGGGTATTTTTTTTCCTCTCTTAAAAAGCTGAAAGTAGAAAAGGCAGAGAAAATAATAATAAAAAAGGCAATTGAAAAAGGCCATGCCAGCTTCTATTTCAGTGTTACTATAGTGGAATATTTTATTCATTGGTTGTGGGGGCTGGATGTTTTACAGATGATGGCAAACTTTGAGGCTGGATTAGATCACTCTAATAGGCCTGATTTAGGAAGAGCAGAGCTGCTGCTTTAAAACAGCTCTTCTAGTCTGCTGCTCTGCTGTGAGACTGAAGGGAGACCTGAAACAAATGCCTGGCAAGTACAGGCAACAGAATGACAGTCCTACTCAGAAAACTTCTTGTTCTGGGCAGAAATAGGCTGAAATGAAGTTAAAATTTCCTTGATAAGAGGGAGATTTACCTTAATTCAGGAACTGCATTGTGTGTGCACACCTTTTCTCATGAGAATAGGATTTTTCTTATTATATCCTGTTCATGTATCCATGTCCACACAGCATCCTCTTAGCTTGCTCAAAACTTGCTTAGAAGGCGTCTCTTTCAAAGCTAGGCAAAAATGCTTCCCTTTTCTGTATGAAGAAGGTTTGAGAAAAAGAAAGCCTTATAAAGCCTATACATATGATCAGCATTGAGGTTTCTGAGACACTTGTGTATGTGTAATAAAAACCCCCCCATGTATTGGATAGTTTAGAATGTGGAAACTAAATTTTACATACCATAAATGATGGAACCTTGAAACAAACACTAAAAGGGGAAAAAAGTTCCTGACTTAGTTCTGCATCATGCGTAGGGTTTAGGGTGTGACTAATGTAGAGTGATCTGTAACACTGAGAACTTGCAGGAATCAAAAGGCCAAAAGTCTTCCACATTAACAGTTTCCTTCTTTGAACTCAAGCTTCTCAAAATGAGGAAGCTGTTTACAAAGAAATTAAAAAGGAATAGCTAAAGCAAATATGGATTTAAGAAAAACAATTCTGGAACACAACTGTAATGCTGAAGATACTCTAGTGCAATCTGTTATTTTCATAGATATCTATTGCTTCTACTGAGGAACTCTTTCATACCAGAGTGTATGGTTTAATTTTTTCCTGTAGTCATATAAAACCCTCGGTGAGCTCATCCTCACCTGAGATTATGGCTATAAGTGTTCTCTATAGTCTTGAAATTGGTCTTTACCTGTACTTCTGTCAACCATTGGGTACATACTCCCTGCATCAGGGTCTGTTATCAGGATGGCAAGACTTGTATGAACTCTCTAGCATCTTTAATGTTCCTGTAAGATTTAAAGAAGGCACTTAAGTACCAAGGTTATAGTCACTTATGATAGCAAGGATAAGTGGAAGGTCATAAGAACTGATCCAAAAAGAAGAAGAAGAAAAAAAAAAATAACACTTGAGTGTAACTGAAGTATTTTTTTTAACATGTACTTGAGTTTCATCTTCACATAACAGCTATTCGCTGCAATATATACTTCTGAAAATGAACTGAATAGCTGTTTCATAACTCTTTTTATTAGGGAAGAAAAAAAATTGTGAATGGTTTTGGACCTTGAAGGTCAGCCTCCTGGGATATCTCCAGCAAATGGAATATATTATTCTCTGTTGGTTGTATATACAACTCATTATTGTAAAATTTGTCAAAGTCACAAGACTCTCATGATGATAAATCTCTGCTGGGGTAAAAACAAAATTCCCTATTTATCACCATGCTTTTCTATTTACTGTTTGGAGTTTCTTGCATGATGATGTATTCCCTCCCACATCACACACCACCCCCATATTTAAAGCAAAACTGCTTTTCAACAGGAAAGGGGAGAAAACTATAATTTTTTATGACTCTACCAGAATACCCGTATAAGCCCTCCCATATAAGTGTGTAATAGTTTTAATTTAGATTTATTCTGTCCGTAATGCTAGTTTGGATGCTGGCATTCCAGAATTCACCTATCTAGTAATTGGTTGGTTGTTCCTGGAAACTGGTTGCATTTTCACTAGGGAAAAAGGGCTGCTTTCCCTCAGTGGTGTAGATGGACTACAATCTGCAGTACATATAAAGAAGCAAACATTTTAAATGAAGTGGGTTCATAGATTCCAGTGCTGACAAGCTGAGTGAAAGGTGAGAAAAAACATGTGGCTAAAATTAACAGAATAAAGCAAACAGCAAAGCTTTTGAGGGTCTGCATAACTGTCAGTAAGTCAGAAAAGCATAAATATAAAGACATGCTCCAAATTAACAAGAGAAACTATCCAGATACCATGCTTCTGAAAAACATCCCGCTCTTAAGAAGGCAAGTTTAGCAGATGCTAGTGAATTTGAAGTGAGAATCTATATTCAGCATAGGACTGTTTAACTTCTAAATTTGTCAGTCAGTTCAGGACTTGTACTAATGGTACTTGCTTGTGAGTAAGAATTGTGGAAACGTACTTGCGTGCTTCTACCAGAAAGGTTTCAGTGTAGGTCTTTGCTGTTTCAGCCCTGTTGTCCTGAATGAGAACTTCCAGTGAATTCTGTGATTTATCTTGTGTCATGACCAAAGTGGATGGTAGAACTGAAGGTGATGTAAGGGGAGGTGGAGTCTGAGAGGAAGAGAACAGCTGCCTCTGCCAAACTTGCTCTTTCTTCTGATTAAATCTGGCAGCTTTTGAGGTTTAAAAATTTTTGTTCTGTATTTATACAACTCCCTGTTCTGCCTGATTTAGAACCAGAGT